GAAGGAAGGAAGGAAGGAAGGAAGGAAGGAAGGAAGGAAGGAAGGAAGGAAGGGGAGAGACAGTTGTTAGATAGGCCTGGGGTTGCTAAAATGTAACACTGTGTGAAACAGTTGCGATATCCATAAACACCATGGTATCCAGGAGAGAGGAACAGAGCCTGTGCTATGCTGTCTGCCGTGGTTTTTACTTATGTAACTAATTCTTTCTTAAAAGCTTTTACTATATTTTTCCAAGAAGCTAAAGGAAAGTGCTCTGTGGAAAAACTAATATGCAGCAGAAGGGGATACTACAGGCTTGCCTACTGAGGTGACTCGTGTAGGTCCCCGTGGTTACACATTTGTTAAAACTTCAGATATATAAGGAAGACAGGTGAGCATAGAGCCCACTCCTGTGTGCGTCCGCCCGGCCTCTGTGGTGAGCTTCCCTTGTCAGCTTGGTTTCATGATTATTCTTAGTCTCTTGTCAATTTATATTACCCATCCCTAAATTATTCAGTAACTCCCAAAAAAATTCAGGACAGACTGTTTGATTTGGTTAGACATTGTGTCTCTAAGTCGTAACATAGCTCCACAGGACAGCCCTCACATCTTAAATTAAGGGGGCTGCGGGGACAGGGGCTTAGTGACTTAGTGTACAGTGTACATGCTCAGCGTACCTGAGACCCTGGGTCCGATAACTAGCACCCTCATTCCCACCCCAAAAAGAGAAACAGAAGGAAAAGATAACTAATTCTTAATGAATCAGATATCCAGGAAGTGTTCAAATTTCAAGCTGTTTAAAACATGTTTTTGGTTTTTCGAGACAGGGTTTCTCTGTATAGCCCGGGCTGTCCTGGAACTCACTCTGTAGACCAGGCTGGCCTCGAACTCAGAAATCCGCCTGCCTCTGCCTCCCGAGTGCTGGGATTAAAGGCGTGCGCCACCACCGCCCGGCTAAAACATGTTTTTTATTTGAGCCAGAGAGTCTCTACAGTTTGTTTGAATCCAAATTCCATCAGGAGTCAGACATTGCATTCGGTTGATCTATTCCTCACGCCTCTTCACCACCGTAAAGGAATTCAGTTTAATTTGGCATGCAGTCTGAGTTACATGTCCTTGTTTGTTTATTTGGTCATTTACTTTTTTGAGGCAGGGTCTCTGTAGCCCTGGTTATGTAGACCTGTATGAACTTGCTGTGTAGATCAGGCTGGTCTTGAACTCACAGAGATGCTTCCCTTCGCTTTTTCTTTCCCCTCCCCTCACTCCCTCCTCTCTCGTTCTCTCCCCTCCTCTTCTTTCCTCTCCTCTCTGACAGGGATTGATGTAGTTTAGGTTGGCCTCAGACTCACTGTGAAGCCAAGGATGATACCCCTACTCTCCAACAGATGAGAGATTACAGCCAGACACCAGCGTGGTTATCTGTGGTTCTGGGAATTTGATTCCAGGGCCTTATACATGGGTACTCTACCAGCTGGGCTCGGCCTGTATGCTCCTGTTGGATGAGGAGTTCAACAAAGAACACGGACGTGCCCTGTCATGACTTGACTGGTGATACTACTCTCTTGGCCTGAAAATGAATGACTAGTATTCGGGAGGTAGAAGCGGTGGGGCGCTCACTCCCAGTCCAGTCCCAAGACAGTCAGGGCTATGATGAGAGTCTAACCTGCTGTGAGAGAAACTTCTGGGGAATTGCACAGCCCCTTGCTATGAGTCCCTGGCCTGTGGTGATGATGCTGGTTTGAAATGCCCAAGAGATGACGAAGTCACCCTTCTTTCCAGTGAGATGTGTTTATGAAATACTTTGTCGACAGATTTTTAAAATCCTTTTCTTTTTAGGAAGTCATTCCTTATGTGTGACTCATCTTCTGGGTCCTGTCCTGCTGCGGCCAGGGTTGTGTCTTTGGCTGAGCAGCTGGTTGACATGTCATGCTTCTGTTGCCTTGGCTAGGTCTGTGATGAGGACTGGCACCACTTTGTCCTCAATGTGGAAGTCCCAAGTGTGACTCTGTATGTGGACGGCGTCTCTCATGAGCCCTTCTCCGTGACAGAGGACTACCCGCTTCATCCGACCAAAATAGAAACTCAGCTTGTAGTCGGAGCTTGCTGGCAAGGTAACGGCCTCGGGGTTAAATAGCCGCTCCTTCCCGTGTCCTTCCCGTGACCTCATGGTGTCGAGGCCTTAGCTCATCTTCTCTATCCCCACCTCCTTTATCTGTGCGTAGCCTTTTAGGGGACACTTTCATGTCATCGAAGGTTGTTTACTAAATCTGTGTATGGACAACAGCCCCCATCACCTTTCCTGTTTACTAACTACTGGTGTCTGCAAAGCCAGAGGTGAGAGTGAATCATAGATACAGAAAGGTAAAGGATGTAGAAGTCTCTGGGTGGCAGGCCTCTTCTGTGGTATTTAGCCCTTTAGCAAGCTGTCAAGAGCTTGCTAGGAACCTTCGAGAGAGGGAGTGAGGGGACATTTGGAGAAGATTCTAGAAAGCTCTGCAGGAGGGATGATTCCCCGAAGCCAGAGCAAAACCATGACTCATGTGTTTGCCAGGAGGCAGGCTGTCTGCTGGTTTCCTCGTATGTGTTATCTCAGGTCAGCCTAATATTCCTCTCGTATAGCGGACGAAACTGAGGTCCAGGGCAGGAGCAAGCCGAGGATTGTCCAGGTGATCAGCACTGAGCTGGGATTTGAACCTAATGCCGTGACTCACCAGACGAGGCTTTGAGCGTTCCCTGAGAAGCAAAGCCTTCCTCGTTTGGTGAAAAACCTGTGAATCCCTTAAACAATGCGTTGGCTATTTGTGGGGTCTCAGGTAGCCGATTAGGTTGCAATAGTGGTCAGCATACAGAAGGATCGACTCTGTGAATTTGTGTAGTGATACCCATGATGCCCCGTTAACAGGTGAGAAAAAGATTTAATGGCAGGGCCAGAAGACAGTGTAATTTGAAACTGGTGAAGGACTTTGGGACAGTTTGTCAATCCCTGCTTCACTGTACAGTGATTAAAAACGCACCCACGATTCTCCTGGTGACAGGGTCACAGTGACCACCCACACTGCTGTGGTTTATAGACTGTATTTATAGCCAGAAGAAATAAGTTACTAGAAATAAACATTAACTGTTATTGTCCAAGTTCACAGAGCCACACATCGGCCTCCGATGGTCATGTGCCCGCTGTGACCCATATGCCCTACTGTCCCCTACACGATTCCGGGCACCATCAATTCGTGCGCTGGGGGAAGAGACTTTAGATACTATTTCTCTCCCCATAGGAAGATAGTGCCTTGACTTTAGTTAGAAAAGTATGGATGAATCTAATTCTCAAGACAAATCTGTTTATTCTAGGAGAATCTGAATCTCACAGTTTTTTTCTAAATTCTTTTGGATACAAAGGAGTAAGTTAGCATGTGGAGTGAAGCTCTTCAGCGGGTCAGAGGGTCACTGTTGGTTTGTACAACTCCCTGGGAGGAAATAGTGTGTGAAGCCAAAGACTGAGGGGCAGGGTGGGCAGGCAGCTTTCAGATGATACCCTGTCTTTTAGGTCGAAATTTAGATGTGTTGTAAGGAAAAACAAAACAAGCTAACAAACAAACAAACAAAAAAAAAAACCAAAAACAAAACCACTAGCATAAGCCTGAAGGAGATTTCAGTCTGGCAGTTCCGTCATGTTGGTTAAATGGGCTACCCTGGGCTGCCTGCCACCTTTGGCCTCAGGGTCACTGCCATGAAACACCAGGTACTTGTCATCCTTCCCCTGTGACCTCAGCTATCTCAACCTGACAGCGATCTCCACACTGAAGCAACACAGTTTCTTTTTTCTTTTTTTTCTAATTTTTAAAATTTCATGTTAAAATATTTTTTGCCCGTATATATGTCTGTATACCACGTGTATGCCTGGTGCCTGTGGACGCCAGGAGAGGGCGTCAGATCCCCTGGAACCAGAGTTACAGATGGTTGTGAGCCACCATGTGGGTGTCGGGAATTGAACCCAGATCCTCTGAAAGAATAGCTTGTGCTCTTCTTCACTACTGACCCATCTCTCTAGCCCTTATCAACACAAGCTGTTCAAAATTCAGTTCACACGGAGGAAGCTGCCCTTTGCCTTTCAGTGAATGTGGAACCCCTCTCCCCATAGTTCACAGTGGGGAGGGTGGGCCGTTGGCAGCTGCCCCACCTCTGTTAGAGAGATCAGTGGGTGGGCATGGAGGCTTCACAGGTCTGGCCTCATCGCATCTCTCTCCACACTTGTCACACAGTATAGTGGCCCGTGTTACCAAGCAGTCGCAAGGAGAGGCACTTCCCCCGTAACACAGTACAGAGGTGTGGGTCCTGTGCTCGGCCGTGGGTGTATAACCACCCAGGAGGCTTTGATCTGCAGCTGTAGAGATTGTGGTCTGTGAGTGCCCAGGCCTGCCGTGCTGGTTTATCTGGGTGAGATCCTTAGACAGTCAGCCAGTGTCCCCTTATGTCTTCTTTCCCCTGACGGTTAAAATCCGGAAAGCACAGACTCACGGTTCATGTGCCACACTCTGGACTTGGTAACGAGCCCTCCAGTTTTGTCTGTCTGTGCATTCTGCTTCCCTGTCTGGAGGGAAAAAGACACTGATCCAGGAGCTGAATGTTGGTTTACATCTGCTCCAGCACCACTCCTAGCCAGACCTCCCTGGAACGCACTGTCACGTCCGCTAAACAGATAATGAACTCGGTTGGTGTGCCTGCTTCTTTGTCTTACTCTAAACTGATTTGTGTTTCCATAAGGAGAAGAGGTGCCCATATAAAAGAAAAACCCAAAGGAAGCACTGGGGGTGGGGGGTGGGGGGTCACTTCTGGGAAAAGGTCACCAAGTGCAAGCTTGTATCAGGGTGAACCGTGTCCCCGACGTCAAGGGGGATTTTGTTCTCTGGGGCCCATGTTTGGCTGCTCGAGTGTGAAGGCTCTAACCTCTCGGTCCTTTCTGCCGTCTGTCTGTCTTACCTTTCCAGAGTATTCAGACGTCGAGAGTGGCAATGAGACTGAGCCTGTGCCGATGGCCTCCGCAGGTTGCTGGATCACCCCACCCCCACACGCATCCCCGTTGACTATAGTGTTTCCTTTAAAGACGAGCCATTGATCCACATGCCGCATGAGATGAGCAAATCACATTTCGATCCCAGACACCGTTTCAGCTGCTTGCCTGCATTGAGCTTCCCATTGCCTCCTGGGATTTCCCTTCCTGCCCCTGTCAGCCTGGGGTCGGGGGGGGGGGGCAGATGACACCCCTGTATGCTGCATCGTGGAGATTCTAGTGCCTCCAGTTCCCCAGGCCCACTGCACAAGGCTCCCACTAAAATTCCCCAGGCTGGATTTGGGAGGCCCCTTCATGGTACTCAGCTGGCTGAGCCACGGAACAGAAGAGCAATTTCTACATTTTCTGTCCTAATGGACAGAGATTCTAAACAGAAATACCAGCTCCCTAGTGATGACGAGCCGTGCCAGGGCCCTGCCCTTCAGTAACATAAAGGCGAGCTGTAGTATGTGGCTCGTTCCTGTGGTCTGTCAAGGTCTGTCCTCTGGGGTTTTGCTGTCTCATTACATCTTCCCTGCCTGTTATCCTCAGACAGAACTCAACAGAGCTTCCAGGAAACCAAGACAACTCAGCGTATGACATGCCTGCCATGCAAGCATGGAGCCCGGAGTTCAGATCCTTGTCACACACATGAACATCAAGTGAACCTGGGGGCCCACTTGTAATTCTAGAGATTAGAAGGCAGAGACAGGGGTTCCCTGAACAAGCCGGCTAGTTAGAGCAGCTGTGTGGACAAGCTCTGGGTTCGCCAAGAACCCTTACTTCAGTGAATAAGATTTCCAGAGTCAGGTCTACCCACATACATGAACACACACATGTACCTAGACATATATGAACATGCATACACACATACATGCTGTACATGTGTGCATTGCACACGTGGACATACATGCACACATAGACGTGAATGTGCATACACTCGTGAGTGTTGTACACGTACTGCACGCACAAACCTCTGTAGAAGGCCTCAGAGGGTTTTACGTGGGGACTGTAAGCATCCAGAGTTACTGTTGTGTTAGGAGCCAGTCTTTCCCCACCCCCACCTCCTACATCCTCAGTGAGGAAAAGCATCCCACAGTGTGCTCGACCAATAGGTGGCAGTGTTTGAGCAAGCTGGTACCAAGGGAGGCAGTGTCTCTGCACCTTGGTGATGACACTGCATTGACCACCATCCTCAGAGAGTGGCCAGGTGCATAGGGAACCTGGAGGGGCCTCTGAGCATTCAGGGTATGGGTGAGGGCCCCCCAACCCCACCCCCATGCCTCTCTTCTTCAGGCCATGTGCATGATCATAAACAATTTAATTTTTCATCGCACTTCCATGTAGATTGCAAGGCTAACGGTTTGTTCTGAACTAACTTGCATGTCCATCCATCAAGCCACCTCCACTGGTAACACGGCCACGACACGTAACCAGGAGCCCGTGGGCCGCAAGCCTAACCTCTCGCTTCCTCCCCTTCCTAAGGTGGTGACCTGCACATGACACAGTTTTTCCGAGGTAACCTGGCTGGCCTCACGGTCCGTTCTGGGAAACTGGCAGACAAGAAGGTGATTGACTGTCTGTACACCTGCAAGGAGGGGCTGGACCTGCAGGTCCCTGAAGATGGCAACAGAGGCGTGCAGGTGAGCGTTCACCTCACCGTTCTAGGCTAGCCCTCAGAGAGTGGGGCCAGCAGGGTAAGGCAGAGATGGGGTCCCAGACTTTACCCTATGTGAGAGTCTTGCTTCTCAGTGATTCAGACCAGCCTGATTCCTCCACTGTCTCTCAGTTTGGCCTTTCTCAATTGGGACCTTGTCCCCTCCCCTCTCTCTCTGGTGTGATAATTTCAGATCCAAGCAAGCTCCAGTCAGGCGGTATTGACCTTGGAGGGAGACAGTGTTGGAGAGCTGGATAAGGCCATGCAACACATCTCCTACCTTAACTCGAGGCAGTTCCCCACCCCGGGCATCCGCAGGCTCAGAATCACCAGCACCGTCAAGTAGGTAGCAAAGAATGGATTTCCGGCCTCTGACAGAAGATGTGTGGCAGAGAGTGTGTGTGCCTGTCTTTAAGCCTGTCTGCCTCCCTGCCAAGGGAAGGCTCCCCTGCTAAGGCTCATCACTTGACCTTGCTGAATGAGGAATGGGGTGTGTGCTGAGCCCAGTGGGGAGAACACTCCTGGATTGGCAGCTGCCTCACTCTCTCTCACCGCCTTCCCCCCCTCCTCTTCCTGCCTCCCCACAGGTGTTTTAACGAGGCGGCTTGCATCGAGGTACCCCCAGTGGAGGGCTATGTGATGGTTTTGCAGCCGGAAGAGCCTAAGATCAGCCTGAGTGGCATCCACCACTTTGCCCGGGCAGCTTCTGAGTTTGAGAGCCCAGAGGGTGTTTCCCTGTTCCCCGAGCTGAGAGTCATCAGCACCGTCAGCAGAGAGGTGGAGCCCGAGGCAGATGGGGCTGAGGACCCCACAGGTAACAGCTGCCCCCCAGGGCCTGCCTCTGTTGTCTTGACTGGCAGCCTCCTCTTAGGCCCTTTTCCTGTCAGGCTTTGGAAGTTTTGATGTTTTAGTACTTGAGTCTATTTCTGGAACCTGGCTGTAGCTGGTGTTGGGTTTTAAGATTTAGCTTGAGGGCCAGCCCATAGGAAGACAGTGTCCCACTGTTCTTTCCCGGGGCTCACTAAGTGCTGTTTAGTGACTGAGCTGGTTCTGGTTCTGGGCCCGGGCCTTCATATACTCTACTGCTGTCTATACTCTCAGCCCTCAAGTCTTGAAGGTAACTCTCCCCTGCTTGGTCCTTACACTCTAACTGTGACCTTGAGATGTGGCTGCAGGTGGGGGTTGTGTCGCCTGCAGCCTCCGCTATCTCTGGTCGACCTTTCTTGCAGTGCAAGAGTCCCTGGTGTCGGAGGAAATTGTGCATGACCTGGACACCTGTGAGGTCACGGTGGAAGGGGAGGAGCTGAACCCCGAGCAGGAGAGCCTGGAGGTAGACATGACCCGCCTCCAGCAGAAGGGCATCGAAGTTAGCCGCTCTGACCTGGGCGTGGTGTTCACAGGTGAGGGGCTGGAGCTGAGCAGAGGGGGAGAAGGGAGGGGAAGGCTCTGGCCTGCCTGCAGCCTGCAGATGCACTGGTGCATCCACCTCCCACTGACACCTTCTGCACATGGACGGGGACACCGGCAGTGCTTCATGCAGGGTGGGGCAGGGCACACAGCAGCCCATGCCCCTGGATAGAGAAATGCCTACTTGCTTTGCTTTCCTTCCTTGACTCTGAAAGCCACAGAGGTGTAGCCACTAGTTTGGCTGACCTGAGTGCCTGAGGTTAGCTACGCGGGCCCACCTGGGCTCCAGACTGAAGCTGCCACCCTCACACCCTACAGGTGTGGAGACCATGGCAAGCTATGAGGAGGTTCTGCACCTCCTGCGCTATCGGAATTGGCACACCAGGTCCCTGCTGGACCGGAAGTTCAAGCTCATTTGCTCGGAACTAAATGGTCGCTACCTCAGTAATGAGTTCAAGGTGGAGGTGAGTCCAGGGCGCCCACCCCAAAGTCCAGGGTGCCCACCCCAAAGTCCAGGGCGCCCACCCCAAAGGGCCAGGAGTAAAAGTAATCAAATGTCCTGACTCTTGGGCCCAAGGTTTCAGACGTTCATGGTGGCAACTATTTAGGCTCAGACCGGGGGTGGCTGTGTCCACAGGGCAGACATACAGGCTTGGAGTGCAGAGATGAAGAGTGAATGACAGAGTGTCTGTGGGGAGGGACAAGGTTGTTCGTTGGGCTCCGTATGTTGAAAGAGCCTCTGGGAAATCAAATGGTCTTGGTGGCCATGTCAGGTCACTGGCCCTATCGACAGGAACGTTTGGGCCCCCAGCTGTTGAGTGCTAACACTGCCACAGTCACTCTGGGGCCACGGCAGCTAGAGGACAAAACACCCTGCTCTGAAGCCTTCAGCAGCCTCTGCTGCAGCTGACTTCCTCGGCCAGTGCCTCTGAGGTCTGAAGAAATGAACTGAGAGCTGTTCTGGGCAGCCAGCCGGCCCCGCCATGATCCGTGTGGTGGGCGGAGACTAAATGTACCCAGCCAAAGGGTAGCTGGTGAGCGAGCAGCAATGGTGGCCTGTGCTATGGACACGTTCTTTTGTAAAGCTACACTGTAAATGACCCATGTCACACACGCTGTTTCTGGGATATGTGTGTGACTGTCACATGGTTGTGACAGTTGGCAGGGTCTCACTTCTGATGCTTTTCAGTCACTGGAGTAACCCTGTTTACGGTGTCGCAGCACAGTTTTTCCCGTCGCTGACAGTCGTTCACCGTCAGGTACACAGGAATGCTGGCCCTAGTGACTCTTTTTCTGCTGTAGGTGAATGTGATCCACACAGCCAACCCTGTGGAACATGCCAACCACATGGCTGCCCAGCCACAGTTTGTCCACCCTGAACATCGATCCTTTGTGGACCTGTCTGGTCACAACCTGGCCAATCCTCACCCATTTGCAGGTGGGACTGGGGGAAAGCACGTGGGTCAGAATGCTGTGGCGTGTAGGGTCCAGATGGACACGGACACACACACACACACCACACACACCTGGTGGTAAGCATAGCCCATATGTGTATACTGTCACATACACAAGGAAGCTCACCACAGCCACAGAGCAGCAGGTGAGCAAAGCCAGGCTTCGTGCCTCCTCCGGTGTCTGGGGGTCAGGCGAAGCACTCTGACACATCCCATTTGACCTAGAGTTGAGGAGACCAAGGGTGGGGTGGCTCTCTGGGTGTAAGCATTGTCACAAAAGCTGTGTCTGGTCTTCAAATCCCGTGGCAGTTGTCCCCAGCACGGCGACTGTCGTGATTGTGGTATGTGTCAGCTTCCTGGTTTTCATGATCATCTTGGGCGTGTTTCGGATCCGGGCTGCACATCAGCGAACCATGCGGGACCAGGACACAGGGAAGGAGAACGAGATGGACTGGGATGACTCTGCCCTGACCATCACCGTCAACCCCATGGAGGTAGGTGCAAAGGGGCCCCAGATGGCAAAGCACCACAGAGACCTGGGTCACGTGCTCTGCATGTTGGGTCTGTGAGATTAGGGAGGTCATCTTCAGGTGAGGAAGCCCAGGCTCAGGTCTCTGTGACCAGCATAGGCAGGCAACTGACACTCTTGGCTTCTACCCCAAGATGTCTCTGGTATGACAGGACTAAGCTCCATCCCTCTGTGGTGAGCACCCCATCCCAAGTGCATGGCCTCCATGTTGCTAATGAGAACATCACCTGCCCAGTCACTTTTGGTGAGGTGACTCCCAGTGCCACTCCAGCTTTTCTGTCACCATGGAGTTGTGTTTTCCTTTGTGGCTTCTAGAAGGTGGACACTGGGGCCACAAGGTAGACTTACGCCAGTGTCTCTTTGCCAGACATATGAGGACCAGCACAGCAGTGAGGAGGAAGAAGAGGAAGAGGAAGAGGAGGAGAGTGAAGATGGGGAGGAGGAAGAGGACATCACCAGTGCAGAGTCGGAGAGCAGTGAGGAGGAGGAGGGCGGCCCCGGGGACGGCCAGAATGCCACCAGACAGCTGGAATGGGATGACTCCACGCTCAGCTACTAGACACACTCAGCGCTCAGACTCTCTCCCTGGCCATCTCCCAGCCCCACGGGTCCTCGATGTACAAAACCATTTTGACCAGCAGGTCTGCAGACCCCTCCCCCCACCGCTGAAAGTCTTCCCGTGCTTGGTGTGTGGGACCACCGACTCCGCCCTCCCTGCCCACCACGCTTGCGGTTTTCCTAGAAGCTGGCACTTCCTCCCCGGGCAGGGGCCCCACAGCACCTCAGACCCCGAGTGTGTCTGGAGTCCCCTGTCAGCCAGGGAGAGGACACCAGCACCTGGGACCTCCAGAGAAGCCACAGCGAGCGGACTTGTCTACAGAGGGTAAAAAAAAAATTATTCCCACGCAGTCAGTAACCATTTGTCTTTATTTTTAAAAGTTTTTATTTTTTTTCCAAACTAGTGCATGTATAAAGCGGGAGAACAGGGGGGTTAATATGTAGATGACCAACTGACTTTTTAATATTTTGTAAATAAATTGGGATTCTTTGTGTCCTCTGTGCTAGTGTAGTCCAGGACAGGATGTAAAGTCAGAACACGGGGCCAGGAGGAACTCTTCCTCCCTCTTCCCTCCTAAGAAACCAGGTTGAGAAGGTCCAAGTCACTGTGGCTCTTGCTGTGCTTTCTGTACAGCAGGTGGCCGGGGCCATAGGCTTTGAGTGCTGCCTGGGGGGCCAGACCCACGCACCTCTATCACATTAGAGGCTGGGAACAGCCAGGATGTTGCCAAAGCCCCTGGCCTTTCTCATACACGCCTGTGACAGGCAGCCACGTGGTTTCTGCTTATTGTGTCTCCCTGTTGGTGAAAGCGTGTAGCCGGGAACCGACTTCAAAGGTGCAGGCAGCCAGGCTCCTCAATTGGAAGGCAACAGTTCTGAGCAAGTCTGCACTACAGCACCCAAAAGGAGAGCCTAAGGCCCAAAGACAAACTGCTAGAATGTTCCAAAACAATCTGTTTTTTTCTCCTCCCCAGAGGTCCCGTGGGATGCCCCCTTTTGTCGGGTTTGGGGTAAGATCTAAGACGCAGCAGATGAGAGCCAATTGGCTTGGTGGGGAGGAGGAGACAACAGCTAAATCCCACTCAGCACAGCCTGTCATTCACAGTCACAGTTTGGACTGCTCCAGCTGGGGACTCCAGTCCTCGCTGCTAGTTTTAAGGATGCCGACTCTGTGCTGTCTGTGGCCACCCTCCCGTGTCCTGTTCCCTGTAGCTGCTTTACTAGATGGAAACAGGCTAATGAAGTGAGGGACACTGTTGTGTGTCAGTAGCCATAGGGTCCCCTTTAAGATGTGTATATTGACACTAGGTCAGGAAGTGTATGCATTATAATAAAGTTCTGGTTCTAACTCCAGCCTGAGTGGGGTCCATTCTGTCATGGTTTTGGGGGTGTTGAGGGATTTATTAAGACAAGGTCTGCTACATAACCCTGATGGGCTGGCCTGGCTATGTAGACTAGGCTGGGCTCAAACTTAAACCAAATCTCCTGCCTCTGCCTGCTCAGTACTGGGATTACAGATGTCCACCATGTCCGGGCCAGGATTTATTGTTTATGGTACTGGGGAATGTACCGGAGGCCTTGCACTTTCCAGACAAGGGCTCTACCAGTGCACTGCATTCCCAAGCCCCTTGTTATTTGAGCCAAGAACGTTAAGAACATAAAAAGGTTTTTATTTCTTTTCACCTGTTTTAACCTGTCATGTCAAGGTTGCACAAACTGGTCTCAGCCCACATCAGTGAAAGGAAATCTACTTTCCCCCTACAGAAACATGAAACAACTTTAAAAAAAAAATACTCTTCCAGCCAGGTACACAGACCATACACCCAACTCAGAAAGGCTGGACCTGTGCAGAACCTACAGCCACACCAAGGAGCACCTAGACTCTTTTCAATAAATAACATGGCATACATACACACACACACAGACAAGTTTCCTATTTCAGAGTTGTTGGGGCAGACGAAGGGTTCAGCAGGTGCTGTGGAGGCACCAACCACTGCTGAAGGTTCAGCTCATCATCACGGAGGAGCTGTCACTTGGGCTCCTTGAGCACTGGCAAGGCAGCGGTGATGGTTCTGCAGATCTCAAGAATGGTACCGGGAGATCCAGGTCCTGAGGTGGCAGCTGATACAGCAAGATGTGCTCAGGGTGGCACCTTCAGCATGTGCATCACTGAGCTGGGCTCTCTAAAAGCTGGGTGGCTGGCTCCACTGCCCAAAGGAGGTTTGGATGCCTGGGAGACTCTGTGTTTCTAGAGTTGCTCTGCTCACCCAGACTACACTGAATTTAGCCCCCATCCTTGCTCACACATCAGAACCTAGCTCCCCAGCTGCCTTTTGAGATGGCAGCTCTGGGAGAGAACAGTCCTGTCTTTACATAGTGTGCGGCTCACACAACTTTTGAAGAGGACTCCTTTCTGGCTTGCACTTTGTCTAGATTCATGACCACACCGGGCTAAATCTGGCGCCGGTCTCTGAGCGTTTTGAGGCCTGGAACACACACACTATCTGTAGTGGAGGCCGGGTCCTTTACTCCAGCCGTAGGGTTTTGTACATAGTTTGCATATCATGTCCTTACCCGCAAATAAAAGGTGAGGGTGTACCCATACCCAAGAGGTCGCTTCAGCAGTGCAGAAAAAAATGTGCCTGAGTCTAGAGGGAAGCTCCTGGCTTCCTCAGGAGCTGCCGGAGACTTGGTCGGTGGAGGTCGCCAAGGGTGGGCCACACAAAGGTGGCGGAGGTGAGCAGAGGATTGAGGTGTCCTGTCTGTGTGGGAGGCAGCTGTTCCAGGCAGCCTGCTGGGAGCCTGGGAAGAAGGCCCCAAGAACTGTCTTTGATGGGCCAAGACCCACAGGTTGGAAGACTAGGGGTACGATCCTCAAGGTGCTGCCTACAGTGCTGACCGGGGGTCATGAGGACATCACCCCTCCCCTGCACAAAAATGCACTTCCATTTATGGCTATTCTGTTCCTTAAACATTTTGAGTCATAAATAAATAACCAGTGTAAACAAGAAGCAGTTGTGTGGCTCTTCCCCATGAGGGACAGTTGAGGCTCTGAGGTCCCTTTGATGACCACTGGACACGCCTGGTCTCCAGGACTGACAGTTTACCTCAGTTAGGGCTGAGAGCCGAGAGGGAACCGTCATGTGACGACCAGGGGACACCTCTTACTGTCTGTTATCCTTGGACACGTTGTGCGCCAGCCAGTTGACTTTGGTTTTCCAGCTCTCCCGCAGAGCTTCGTTGAACTTCACCCGGAAGTGCTTTAAGGCCTCTTCCTCTGTCTTCCCTAGTGCCAGAGAGTCCTGGACAAACAGCACAGCGAGGTGACATTGAGGGACCCTGCTCTCTCTGTTATGTGATCTGTACTGAAGTCTAATGGTATGTTAAATTCTCTCTTTATTCGGACCCCAGACCCAGATGGTCCACCCATTGACTCAATATTTGTCAGATGCCTTGGGAGTATCGGGTGGCCTTCGGGATGCCCTGGCTAGGCCAGCGGCCCATCACCACCTCCATCTGCTCACTTATCAGAGACTGAGGACATCGGAAGAAAGCATTCACACAATGTGCAAGGATCCTTAGCTCACACAGACTGTGCCAGAGCATGTGTTTGTGTGCACAATGCGAGCATGAGGACACACCTATGACGGACATGTGGACTGACTAAGGAAGGTTACCACGTATCTGCCACCCAGCACAAGTTGGTCCAGCAAACTGGACCGCTCCGGCCACTGCCCACTGCTAGGACAAGGATGCCATGAGGACCTCATAGTCACCAGTACCCTCTGGATCTCTACCAAATGGGGCCTTTCTAGGGTCCAGACTGCCCAGGCAGGCTGTGGGAAGTATACAGTCGTGGGGTAGGCCCTGACTCAGCCCTGGCTGGACCTACTGTGTTGGCTAGTTTTCTGCCAACTTGATACAAATTAGAGTCACCTGGGAAGGAGGAATTTTCCTCAACTGAGGAAGCACCTCCATCAGATCGCCTGTAGTTAAACCCTTGGGCATTTTATTTTATCTTATTTTTTTGGATCAATGACTGATATAGGAGTGTTCCGCCCACTGTGGGTGGTACCATCCCCTAGGCTGGTGGTCCCTGGATTGTAAAAGAAGGCAGCCTGAGCAAACCATGCTAAGCAAGCCATTGCTTCTGCCCCAGTGCCTGCCCTCGACTCCCCTTCATTATGTGACTGCAACTGCAAGCTGAAATAAACCCTTTTCCACCCATGATGCTTTTGGTGACTTTTGTCATAGCAGAAGGGACGCCACAGGGACACTTACCTTGAGATACTGGATGTCTTTGGAGCAGCTAAGCTCAGGCAGACCTGCTGCACGCATCAGGGCGAAGAGATGGAGGAAAAGCAGGCCGTGGCGCCGCAGGATAGTGTAGGCGCGTTCACAGTAGCCACGGAACCTGCAGGTGAGGGAGGTGAGGCAGGTGAGGTCCTGGGTTTTCTTCACCACTGGAGCCCAAAGCCAGTGGGTCTGTGTGCAACTTCTCCTGAGCTGTTGCTGAAGGTTGTTGTTAAAGGTTATCTGCCAGAGGCTAGTACCTCAGGCCGACCTCCCCTCGCTTCCTACTTCTGGAGATACAAGCCTCCTTCCCTATGGCCCAAGGAGGGAAGGAAACAGGTCTGGAGGTCACTCATCCCAATCCACCCGCATCCAGGGGAGGGGGCGGGAGCAGCAGGGCTGACAGCTGTCTGCAGCCTTGTTCCCGCACCCAGCATCCCTGGCGTCCGGGGAGATAAGGGCAGAGCCCTCACCTTTCAAATTTCTCACTGTTGTTAGTCTTTCCCTGCTGGATCACATGGACAAAGTCATAGGTGAGGATAAAGGGGACGCGCTCACGGTTGATTCCGAACTTGGTCTTGAAGTTCCCCAGGAAGTGGCCAAAATCAATGTGGAAGAGCTGACGGGGAGGAAGTGGAGCCCTTAGCCTAGCATGAGCAGGGCTCCAATCCCAGGAGCCTCAGGAGGAAGAAAGATAAAGCAGAAAACAGGGAGCTTCACTTCTTGACAGATCCAGGGAAAGAAGACACCAGCAAGGCTCACAGCGTCGAACGCCAAACACAGGGCAGAGGGGCCAGCAGGAGGTTAGCCCCATAGGGAAGCCACCCAGCCACATGCCCCTACCTGCCCACTCTCTCTGATCATGATGTTGTCGCTGTGGCGGTCACCGATGCCCAGCACATACGTGGCCACACAGTAGCCAGCACAGGAGAGGGTAAATTCCTCGATGGCCCGATCCAGGGCCTCCCTGAGTGGGGAACATTGAAGGTCATGATACACCAGACTGCAGCACTTTACCTGAGGTGGGTCTGCTTCTCTTCCTCTTGAGTCTAGCCTGTGGGCTTGCTTTACTCAACAGAATGGAAAGTACACTGTCCTAGAGCTTAGGCCTAGGATACCTCTCTGATCTGGAACCTGTCCCCACCGCCTATGAGCACCATGGGGAGAGGCTGAGGGCCAGCTTGCACAAGCAGAGGCCATGAGGAGAGGTATAGCCGACAGGCAGACCCTCCAGGTTTGGGAAATGTCCCAGATAACTTGAGTTGTCCCAAGCAAGGCTTGTATAATATCCCGAGGTTCACACCAGCTGAAGTCTAAGGTCACAAGCTTTGAGTGGTGTCACACAGCCACTGGCAACTGACACACAGGGACAGCTTTGCTGGTTCAGATTCAGGCTGGCCCCACAGCTGAGCCAACTAGACACAAGATCACAGCCCTTCCCTCTTATCTTGTCTCTGATGGGGCAACCCTTCCCGCATCACACCTCCCGGAAGGAGAAGGCTTGAAACCTACCCAGGGTTCTTGGACTTGAGCCAGTTGAGCAGGGCATCCTTGTTGAAGGCCGCAGTGGCGGCCATGTTGCTCTTGTTCAGCTGGATGTTGGCGATGGTGTCCGAGTGGAGGACGACCTCAATGAGCCCAGTGCGGTCTCCGGTGGGGAGGCAGCCGTAGGGGGTCATCCTAGGTGAAGGAAAGGCTGGCAGAATGTCACAATCAAAGGATTCCTGGGGATGCCACACTCAAGTTGCTGAGGAGGGGAAGGATGAAGGACTCGGAGGCTTCTACACTGACACCCAAGAGAATGAGGGTTTGAGGTAAGATGCCACTGCTTCCTTTGGCTGAGGGGCCAGGAAACACAGAAGGGAGCAAGACAAATCCTTGGCTGCCCTCCGTGCCCTCTCTTATCTCTCCTCTCCTCTCCTCTCCTGAGAACAGCCCTTTTCCAACCCACACAGTAAGGATAGTCTCAATCCCCTTCAAAAAGCACAGCTCTAAGAGCTGGCCCAGAAGCAAAAAACGGTTCCGGGATGGGCCCCAACCTGAGGTCCAGGCCCTCCTGCTTCCACAGGACGTCCATGAGCTGGATCATCTGCAGAGTCAGCATGTCCTGGCGGAGGTCTGTAGTGTGGGAAGGAGACCACGGTGTCTGCTAGGTTCCCTTTTCCCACTGTGTGTAGGCTTTTAGGTCCCGGGACCACCCCTCAGGATAGCGCAGGAACGGTTAGACCTCGGCAGGCTCCCTGGCCCCGCCTACTCACCATCTCCGTTCTTAAAGATGATGCCCACGCTACCGGCGCTGCCCGCCTCCTCGCTGCTGTACATGATCCACAGGGGCTTCATTTTGGAGTCCATGAAGGTGCACTGCTCCACACTGCTGGCCAGAGAGTGGGGTCGACCGGGGCTCCTCCCCAGGTCGGGAGGGTGGGAGGAGCCCGGGGTAGGGCCAGGCTTGGGGCTCACCAGACTTCCTCCAGCAGGGTGCTGGGGTCGAGCGGAGACTGCAGGTGGGACAGGGCCTCCATGTAGGTCTCCTGACGCATGCACATGTGCATCATCTCCTTGGTTTGGGGCTTGGTGGTCTTCTGGGAGCTCACTTTCACAAAGTCATTCAGTGCCTTCAGCTTGCTCAGTGCTTCCCCCTGGTGGTGATAACAGGAAGGCGGTGGTGGGTGCCAGCCACAGGTGGGAGGATGGTCCAGGGACAGCATTCTAAAGCGTGGAAGCAGAAGCTGACCGGGCCTTACCTGTTTCATCAGCACCTTCATGTGGTGGGTGCTGCCCCTGCAGTAGGCTTCCATGATGAGGCCGAAACGGAGAGCCACCGATGGTACGTGCATCTCGGAGCTGGGGATCAAATGGTACTGAGTCTTGCCAGTCAGGACCTCACATCCCCTCCCCAGCCTAGGTGGGACCCGGAGCATCAGAACATCTGAGCTCGCTAGAAACAGCCTGAGATCTCCCTTCCCCGCGCCCCTCATAGGATTTCCAAGGAATAAGGCTGGGGTGCGTTCATCTACCGGAGATGCCAAAACAGGAAGTGTCCGATCTTGCGGTTAGCCAGGGCTCGGCCCAGCAAGAATTTGGTCAACTCGCAGTCCAGGTAGGACTCGTATTTGAGCACTTGTACTAGCTGCAGAAGGTACTGGAAAAGCTCGTCATCCCTGAAGAGAGAGAAAGCCGACAGTCGATGGCTGGTAGGTGGCAGAGTAGGAGACGGAGGCCAGCTTCATCCCAACCCAGCACCCACTTCCAGGTGCTTGGGGCAAAGCGGCCTTCCGTAAGAGCAGGGAGTCTGTGGGCCCCGGGGATAGCACCCAGCTGGGACTCACGTCAGCTTCCGGAGGGACTTGATGGCGAAGGAGCCCACGTAGCAGTCGGGAAAGCTAAAGTCCAGAAGCTCCAGGGCGCTCAGCACAGGCAGCTCGGGCCAGGAGCACAGCAAATAGAGCATCTGGGACAGCTTGGTGGTCAGATGGGGGGTGGGCAGTAACTGTCCATCTGCCCCGGGGGCTCTTTCCCCGAACTTCCCCTCTCTACTCACCTGGGCCACATCCTCGTGCTTGTTCCACTTGGTGACCAGCAGGAGGCGGGCCAGCGCCTCTGGGAAATGCTCCTGGACCTCATGGCGCATCTTCCACACCAGGTCCTTCTCATGCTCGTAGAGCTCCCCAGATCCCCGCCGCTCCAGGATCTCCCGCAGCTGCAGCTGCTGAGGGGCACAGACAGGGTGAGGCCTCCAGCCCCACGTCCGATTCCAGCCCCCCCCCATTCCAAGACCTGAGCTCACCTCCTCCTCTGTGACGCGCCCACGCTCCCCATGACGCCCCAGCTCCAGGATCTGCAACAAGTGTCAGGCTCTCAGTATCCTGGGCTTGGGGTACCCCCTGCAGGGCCCCAAAGCAGGAATCTACACCTCAGACCTAACATTTGTCATCCTCACTGACTGACGGAAACCCCGCTTGTGCATCGCGCAGCCTTTACCAGCATCCTAGCTTGGAGCATCCTTCCCACACCAAACATCACCAAATGACAGCACAAACGGCTCTTGATAAACCCTGAATTGGCATAATGGCATTATCCTAGCAATGGGGGAATCCCAGGGTGGCCAGGGTCTACCTCTCTGAAGAACTGCAAAACTGGACAAGGAAAAGTCTACAACAATGGCTCTCAACCTGTGGGTCAGGAGCCCCCTGGGGGTGTCCAGGGTCACCTAAGACCATCTGGAAACACAGGTTATTTACATGACAATTTGTACCAATAGCAAAATGGGGCTGGAGAGATGGCTCAGCGGTTAAGAGCACCGACTGCTCTTCCAGAGGTCCTGAGTTCAATTCCCAGCAACCACATGGTGGCTCACAACCATCTGTGATGGGATCCGATGCCCTCTTCTGGTATGTCTGCAGACAGCTACAGTGTACACACATATATAAAATAAATAATTCTTTAAAAAAACAATAGCAAAGTGACAGTTATGAAGTAGCAATAAAAATAACTTATGGTTGGGGGTTACTGCAACATGAGGAACTGTATTAAAGAAAGGGTCACAGCGTTAGGACTGAGAGACAGTGGGCTAGAAGGAAAGGGTCTTCACTGACCTTCTCCAGAGCAGGGAAGTACACAGGGTGGGCGGCCACCTCAGGCAGGTAGATGACCAGGGCAGCGGCACTCTCTGTGTTGGGGTTACTGCGTACTGTACCCGCTGGATTCAGCAACTCTCCTTTCTCATCTGGACACAGGGACAGTTGCAGCTGTGTGTAATGTCACTGGCTTGGGGACCTCTACCCCTGCTAGCCGCTCCCCTGGGGCTGGGCCCACCTGGGACAGAGGCCCACATGTAGAGGCAGCGTTCCCCCGTCTTCAGCTGATCCTTGTAGTCAAATAGCATGAGGTTGGCCCAAGCGATGGGACAGTCCTGGAGAAGGACACCAGTGGGTTAAGGCAGGCACAAAAGCCCCTGTTTGCTGAGTACTCTCAGAGTACAACAAACCTAAGGCCAAATTGGGGAGGGGATTTGGGCTTCAAGGGAGGACTTCCACGTAGACTCAAGGGAAGACCCTGCTCGAGAAGAGGGAGGACCAACTGCCTTGTCCTAGTGACAAAACCAGTAAAGCCTGCACCTCAGCTCCTGGCATCAAGAGAAACCAGAGCCACTCTCTGTATCTGGCTCAATACCCAGAATGCATTAGCAGGGCAAGAGTCACTTTAAATACTGGAGTTGGAGACTAGGGGCCTAGTCACTCAAGACAACCGCTGGTCTAGGCCCTTTAGTTTCTCTGAGGACACTATCTACCCAGGCAGCTGCCTGCAAAAGCCCACCAGACTACAGGTCCACAGCAGATACTCCCAAGCAGGCTGTTCACAGGCTATCCCTTGAGTGTGTAAGGATCTGTGATAGTGGAGAGGCATCCCCCTCACCCCATCCCTGTCCTCAACCTGTGGTTTATGGCACTGCAGGGAGGCCTAGGCTCCTCCCAGCCACCCCTACCCACCGCCTTCTTGGACTTCTTCTTTGTGGAGCGCGCCTTCTTAGCCTTCTCGACAACAGCATAGAGAGCGAAACAGAGTCGAGCCATTCGTGGGAGGTCACAGATGCTGATATCAAACTCGAGTCGCTGCTTCCACACGGGCTCTGAGCACACGTTCACCTCTGAGCTCGACACCGTCTTACACAGCATCTCGTTGCCATGGAAGAGCCCGGCCTGCACAACCAGCTGGGGATGGGGTAAGGGGCCAGGCACAGGTTAAGGGGGACAGGGAGCCCTGGGCCCTACCCCTGCCCTCTCCCCACCTGACTTCCCCCAACAATTTTCTCCTCAAATGTCCTCATTCTTAAATGGGTCTGAAATCTACTTCCTCATGGTGTGTGTGTGTGTGTGTGTGTGTGTGTGTGTGTGTGTCTCCATGGCTCTAACATGCTAAGGCTGCCTGCCCCTTTTTGAACCTTATGGGCTCCTATCCAGAAGCCACACCAGTTGAGCATCCCAGACTCAAGTACCCAGCCCTCCAAGTTTGTAAAATTATGGAGCTAGGAAGGAAAACCAGACCGTCTGTGAGCCTCCTGTTCCACAGATGGAACAATAACACCTCCACCTGGAAGGCAGATGTGAGGCTTGTGGAAGGGGTTTTAAAAAACCAAAAGGCACCAAGCCCCCACACTGTCTTCAGAACCCAGAGGGAGTTCAGACCCCAGGGGATGCGGCAGCTACCCGGCAGGCTGCAGGCCTACCCAGACCAGCTGCAGCTGGCTCCTCCTTGCGCCTCACACCTCCCCAGATGCCTCTTTCATCCCCACAACCTCCACCAAAGTCAAATACACAGAAATCAGCTCTGCCCGGTTTCCACGAATCAGTATCAGCCCGGCTGGCCCACCCCACTCCCCTCTTCCTGTTTTGAAGCGGCTTACAACCACTCCAGGCAGGGACGCTGGGTAATGTGGTCAGGTGGCTTTCGTGTGACATCTTCCCACTCAGCTTCCGCTGCCACCCCTCCTTGGCCACAGCCACCTTGTTTGTATAGAAAACAGCGGCTCCCTCACCTGGCCCGGGAACCCTACCTTCATCCGGTCGTCTGCATTCACTTTTCGGCCCTCAATCAGCTCAATGCAGAATGGCTGTTCCAGGGACCACAGGGACACAGAGGAGGGCTAGGGAAGTAAGGAGACAGAGTTAGAGTTAGTGGCAAAGAATAAGCCACCTCTCCCTAACACTTGTCTTTTTATCAGAAAGCCTGTTGTACAAACGCATCAGGGTCTCCAATGCCCCTAAGAGTCACAAGAGGACAATGGAGGCTGTCCTATTGATCCCAACAGGACCCTGGTCACCCATCACAGGCCCCTGAACACACGAGCCTCCTGATTTCATCCGAGCAGACCACACCACCTCACCTTCTTGGCAGGGATCGGGGGAGGTTTGGTGCGTGGTTTCTGCACTTGGGGGGCAGGATTGCTCTGTTCATCCCGCATGGCAAGGATGGAGGAGGAGTGGACCATGGTCAGATGAGGTGTCAGTCCGCTGTGCAGGCAGCTGCAGATGTACTGGAAGAGAGGGGCAGGGTGAGCTATTGATGGGGGGAAGGGGCACTGATGGGGGGGCACCCGCTCATTCCCTAAGTCTGGTTGCCTGGATGTTCCCAGGGCCACATGAGGTGGCAGGGAGTGCTGCACGGAAGGCTCACCTGAAAGTGGCAGAGCGGGTAGCTGCCGTAGAGGTACTCCTGCCTCCCGTTCACCTGCAGGGCGTATTCCTCAGGCTGCTCCACCAGAGGCTGCCGGAACACTGTGGCCTTTTTTCGGAGGGCACAGGCCATCAGTGCCAGGGGCATGTCGTTGGTGGATACCTGGAAGGTGAAGCTCTCCTGTAGGAAGAAGGGTGTCAGCCTGCTGCCCTGCATGCTGTCCCTGAGGCCTCTAAGGCACAGAGGTAAGGCTGCCTATGAGAGCCGCCACATCTCCAAATCAGGTCTAGATGTTCACTAATCAAGGCATGCAACCAACATCAAGGAGACACTGGGAGGGAGGGAGGGAGGGAGGGAGGGAGGGAGGGAGGGAGGGAGGGAGGGAGGCAGGGAGGCAGGGAGGCAGGGAGGCAGGGAAGGAAGGACTCTGCATTGTCAAGTCTGCTTAATGAGTGGCAGCTCTTATTGAGTGTTTGCTGCTCTTGCAAAGGACCTGGGTTTGGTTCCCAGCACCCACATGGTGGCTCACAGTCGTCTGTAACTCCAGTTCTACGGGATCTGACATCCTCTTCTGACTTCTGTAGACACTAGACACTTAGACAGGCATAAACGTCCATACACATAATATAAAGTAAATTCAGATTTGCCTGATGAGACATTAGCTAAGCCCACTGGCACCCACGGGGACCTGGCAGATGGCCCTCTTACCCAATTGGGAGAAGGAAGTGGGGGCTCACCTCACTGCCCTCGAACTTCACATTGACCAGCAGGGCTCGGTTGCTGACACGCAGTAAGCCAGCCCGCCAACCCCTGGCTGAGGGCTCCAGCTGCAGGGGGAAGCTATACTGCAGCCATTCCACCCAGCCCAGCTGCTGCCGGTGAGCCGCGGCCTCTTCGCAAAACTGGCGCATCTTAGTGCGGAAGTCGTTTACTTCCGGGTCCCGCAGGGAATCAAACTCATGGAGACCTTTTCGAGGGTGAGAGGGAGAGATCAGGATAATGTCAGGACATGCAGGGCCAGCCGGGTCGCCTCCTATCTCTGGTAAGTATACCTTTGCCAATGAGGAGGCTGATCTGGGAGTTGATGAGCTTCTTCACGCGGTCCCCCTCTCGGGCCACCAGGCGCAGCACGGGCAGGAAGGGCTGGATATCACACAGCCTCCGCTGTTCATCCTCCAGCTCCTGCTGTTCCGCTGTCTGGTTCACACAGGTGAACACGTAAGCCTCGGGGTCACTGAGCATGTGGAAGAGTGGCTCATACTGTGCGCGGTGCCACAGCACCTGGGAGAGAGGGTCACAGTCAGCCCCTACAGGACTCCCACAGGGGCAGAGGGAGACCCCAGAAGACAAAAGCTCTCACACGGGAAGACTAGCCATGCCGATAAACTTCCTGTCTTTGCCCTCAGTTCATCATGTTGGGGTTTGCTGAGGCTGGGGGCAGGGCAATGGGCCTTTTATTTCCTCTATGGTGTTCATGGATGACCTTTGACTACCGAGAAGGATGGTCATGTGTGACCTTTGAACCCCCTTCCCCCCACAGATGATCATTATGGGTGCCACTGTCATTACTCACTTTGTAGACCAGGCTGGACCCATCTTTGTTCTGCCCCTGTTTCCTAAGTCCTAGGACCACAGGCATGAACTACCAAACTGGAGTATATTTATATAAATTATAGCCAAGATCGACTGTTACACTGTCCATTCAGAAAAAGAGACATACAAAGGGGGCTGGAGGGATGGCTCTAAAGTTAAGCGCACTTGTTGCTCTTACAGAGGACCTGGCTTCAGGTCCTAGTACCCACGTGGCAGCTCACAATGCCCTGAAACAGGAGTTTTTTTGTGAAATTCACATCCTCTCCTGGCCTCTGCAGGCATTAGCACAAATACACATATGCAGATAAAATGTTCATACACATTTTCAAAAAATTCTTCTAAAAAAGAGATATAAAAATCCATCAGAATTCTCACGAGACTGAAAGTGCAGGTACAAAATGAGCTGGGAGCCCCAGCGGGATGGCCTGGCAGGTACAGATGCTCGTAACCAAGCCGGACAATCCAGCTCCATCCCTAGAGTCTGCGGGATAGGAGATGCCAAAGTCCCCCAAGTTGCCCCCTGGTCTCCAAACCATGCCATGGCATACACATGCCTACACACATACATGCAAGGGACATAAACAGGTAAATAAACAACTGTAAAACTTTTAATAAAAAACAAAATGGGGGTGGGGGGGGGACTGGAGAGATGGCTCAGCAGATAAGAGCACTGACTGCTCTTCCAGAGGTCCTGAGTTCAATTCCCAGCAACCACATGGTGGCTCACAACCATCTGTAATGGGATCCGATGCCCTCTTCTGTAGGCAGCTACAGTGTACTCATATAAATAAGAATAAATACATTATAAAAAAAAAGCAAAACCAGAAAGTAGTTAGTGGAGGTGTTGACTGTATTATCTCATTTGGCCCCCCAAAATATTTGTTTTAAATATTGTTTAAAATATTGTGATAGAGAGAGGATGCATCTACTGGTACACATGTGGAAGTCAGCGGACGAGTGAGGAACTGGTTCTCTCCTTCTACCGTGAATGTTCGGGGGATCAAACTCAGGTTGTCAGGCTTGGAAGCACCCTTGCCTGCTGTGGCATCTTAGCAGCTGGCCTGCCTTCCTCTCCTTTTTTGAGACAGGAGCCCAGAATATCTTTGACCTCACTGTATAGCTGAAGACAACCCAGAGCTTCTGATCCTCCAGTCTCCCAGTGCCAGGATTGCGGGAGTGCATGGCCACACCCAGTTTAGTATACGTTGGGAATTGAACCCAGGACAGCATGCGTGGAAGATGAGTCCTCTACTGACTGAGCTATATTCCCAATGTCCGTTTTCTTAGCTTCTTACATTTTAGTGAGTCTATATTGTTTTCATAGCGGGGGAAAAATAGTATTAAAGGAAATCTGGGGGAGGGGGAGCTCAGAGATGATTCTTGCTTCTACAGTTGGTTTTCCTGTTTCCGTTCATGGCTTTTAAAATTCTGAGGTAAGGTCTCAGCTTTTACCTGCTCAAAACAATCCAGTAGATCCCACACTAGTGGGTTGAACCAGCCCTGTCCAAGTCACAGACAGAAACCACCGAATGCCATCCAGATGTGTATGGCTGCCTTGACTCACAGTACATCACCCTGAAAGTGATTCAGTAAACCCAAACCTCTTTCTAACAATAGTGTTTACTGCCAGGGTAACAAGGCCTTTGCTCTGTGGACAGAGTGGGATGATAGCCCAGCCAGAGGCGGCTCCGAAACTGGCTCACAATCTAGCAATCTAGTGAAGGGAAATGCAGGCTGTTAAAGGGGAAGCCGACTTTGCAATGATAAGTGGAGTTTAACCATAGGTTTTTAAAAAAATTCTTAGAAATTTTATCTTGTAAACTTCACATCTAAGGGCTGAGGGTAATAGCTTACTTGGTAGGACACTTGCTTTGTAAACATAAGGACCCCAGTTAGCTCCTCAGAATCCACATTTAAAAGGCTGAGGGGACTGGAAAGATGACTTAGCAGTCAAGAGCACTGGCTGTGCTAGGTTCAATTCCCAGCAGAACGGAGGCTCAGAACCATCTGTAACTCCAGTTTCAGGGGATCCAAAGCCCTATTATGACCCCCTAATGGGAACCAGACACACATGTGGTGGATATTTATACGCATAAAATAAGTAAATCACAGAGCAAAACAAGCAGCGGGGGATAATAGCACTCTTGTAATCCCAGCGAGGAAGAAATGGAGAAAGGTAGGTTCTGGATCCTTTCAACCTGCTGGCCAGTTGTCTAGCCTACTCCAATGACAGCTTGTATCAAAAAGGTAAATAAATAAATAAATAAATAAATAAATAAATAAATCAGAACAGAAAAGAAAGGAAAAGGAAAGAAAAGAAAAGAAAAGAAAAGAAAAGAAAAGAAAAGAAAAGAAAAGAAAAGAAAAATAAGGTGTACTGCTCCTGAGAAGCGGCGGCCAAGGCTGCCTCTGGCCAGCTCACATGTACAGTTTCCACCCTGGAATTCTGTGTGTGTGTGAACAGTGTCTCCCTGAGCATCAGGATCTGAGAGTTAGCACTGGCTCTACCTGCTTGATGGTGCTGAGGTTGGCATTGCGGGACACGGGAAAATTCAAGTAGACTCCTGTGGGCAGCAAGAAGTCAACAACCACGCTCTGGCTTTCCTCTTTGGTCCAGAACTCCATGGGGCAGTCCACCCCAGGGGGCATCCTGTTGTGTTACTTCTCTGAGGCCTGTTGTCCTGTGGGAAAGGCAAAGGCACAATGAACCAGGGCTTTGGAAAGTGGGCTGGCCAGATCTGGGCCACAGGAGGCCATGCAAAGCTTCCCCGCATGAGGCACTGGCCTGCCTAGGTGGCTGTGACGCCCACTAACTTAAGCCACCCAGTAGGCTCAGGTGCTTCTTGTTACAGGTGGGCACGCCACAGGCCAAAACACTGCGTGATGGCCAACAGATGACCCAGGGACCGGGGTGGGGGGGGGTGGGGGAGAAGAATGGGAAGACACTTGAAAACCAAAGATAAAACTCTACAGTTCTTAAAAATGTTCTAGCCAGAAACCAATTAGCTTAAAACCAACTGACTAGCTGGGCACAGTGGCACCTGCTTACAATTCCAATACTCGGGAGGGGAAGGGGGCTGAGCAGGAAGAAAGCAAAGCCAACCTCAGCTATACAGTAAGTTCAAAGCCAGCTTAGTGATCTTCCCCCCCCCCACACACACACAGAGGCACACACGGGCACAGAAAGAGAGAATACATGGTTTTATCTAAGGAGTTATGATATGGGTCATGCCAACCCTCAGTCCCCTCCTGCCCTCTCCACAGTACCACAGTAATAACAAAACATTACAGATAACAGGACACAGCACGGCGTGTGCTCCACCCACACTCAAACTCCTCCCTGCCACCACCAGCTTCCTCCTTCCAGGTCACGGACACCTGGAATCCAGCTGCTTATCAATTATATGCGTGCTTTCATGCTCTTGTCACTAATACGCATCCACGAGCCGTTCCTAGTGTTTTCTGTGTACTTTTTTTTTTGGTTTGGTTTGGTTTTTCGAGACAGGGTTTCTCTGTGTAGCCCTGGCTGTCCTGGAACTCACTCTGTAGACCAGGCTGGCCTCGAACTCAGAAATCCGCCTGCCTCTGCCTCCCAAGTGCTGGGATTAAAGGCGTGCGCCACCACCGCCCGGCTTCTGTGTACTTTTAAAACCTTCCTGCTTAGTAAGTCTTCAGAGCCCAGGGCCACCCAGCACAACGGACGCCCACAGACCCAGGCTTGTACAGATCTGTTGCAAGTAGCCTACTGCTGCTGTCAGTCCCTGGATGCAACAGCCACGTCATATCAAGAAAACATCATTTGCTTGTAGCCCTCCATGCCAGCCTTGGGCTTCCGCATTCTTTCTGCTCCCCCCACCCCCCCCCTCCACCGCGCAGACTGGGGGGGGGGGGGGGGGGGGCGGGGTGCTACAGATTTCCAGTTTAGTGCTGAGCAGAAAGTAGAAGGTTTAACGTTCATACAATCAAATCTGTTCCCTTTATGTCTTATTATTTTGATTATTTTTTGGTTTTTGAAATAGTCTCTACTTCTGTAGGTCAGGTTGGCCTCAAACTCCGTGAGGCCTCAACCTCCTAAATTCTGGGATTAAAGGGGCGCTCCATTGTGCTCAACCCATTCTTATTCTTTAAAGACAAAATTCTAGGCTGAGGGTGTGTGGTTCAGCTGGTAGAGTACTTACGTACCTGCCCCCTCCCTCACAAAGCTCTGCATTCAGTTGCCAACACCACATAAACAAACTGGGAATGGTTCTGCACATCTGTAAGCCCAGCTCGTGGCAGGCAGAGACAGGAGGATCAGAAGTTCAGTGCCATTTTCTACTATATTGTAAGTTCAAGGCCAGCCTCAACTACATGAGACCCAATCTCAAAAACAAACAAACAAACAAACAAACAACCAGACTTCTGAATTGGGGTGTGTAGCTCAACGTCTGTTCAGCAAGCTTGAGGCTCTGACTTGGAGCCCAAAACATCAGAGAAAAATGACTGTGCCTACCACAAGGTCACATCCTCCTGCATTTAAATGACACGTTTCGTTTATGAGAGATGTCCCAGTTGGTGGGGGTACCAATTGGGCTGGGCCTGACTCACTGGGCAGCAGCTAGCAGCTATTCCATGCACCATGCTGCCTCCTGTGCCCCCCACAGCCCAGCCCAGCCTACCACCGCTGCTGGTAGCTACTTCCTCTGAGTGTGAAACCAGTCCTACTTGGGGTTCCTCTTTCTGAGGCCAAAGTTTTCCTTTCTTATTTAAAATTCGGGTGGTGGGACAGTCAGGAATCTGGGGGATTATATCTACAATGCATTCTTTCCAAGCTTGGGAATTCAGGGGTACCTTTGGTCACATGAACACAGGCTTGGACTTTTGAGGAATCCTACCCAAAAGTCTGGGTCTGAGGCAAGCAGATGTTTTGTTTTCTCGTCCCTCAGCCCTGTGGAAGGGAAGGTTACAGCTGCATTTACCCATCTGGTGGCAGAAAATTAAGTCTACAGACAACTTCATTTAACCATGGGGAAGACCCCATGGTGTGCATAGCCCGCCATCAAACCCAGAGAAAGGGGAACCACTTCTCTCTTCCCTGGAAGAAGTCTAGAACCTTCTATTTCCAGTAGGATACAAAAGAGAGAAAAGCAGGTGCAGGGACTCAGAGTTACCCCAAATTGCATACTGATGCCGCCATGGAGGCGGCCTGTTGGGCTCTAACAGAGAGGAACGTGCCTGTTCCCTGGGACCAAGCCAATCATAGTCCCTACACAGCCAGACACCCAACAGACCTTGAGTACAGACACTGCTGAAGACACAATCAGGACAGTTTAAAGCATTGTACAGTCACCCATATGGACACTTCTCAGGTGGAAGCCAGTGGTGGGATACAAACTCTCCTTCCCACTGACTGTCAGGTGGAGGCGAGGAGGAAGACCCTACAGATACATGATGAGAAAAACGGATCAGGGAGAGAAAGCTGAGCAACAGAAACCGAGAATGAAAGCTAATACAAGTTCAAGGCCAGCCTGGGACACAAGAAACATTGTCTCAAAAGAAAAGATACTCTCATGACGCAAGCAGGCTTGTCCTCCCCTGGAGTTCCTGCCTCCTCTCCACTTCCTCTGCACGCACCATCCTTCCTATTTCTATAGTAATGGGGAGGGCACTGAGGGTTTCTCTCTGTTTTTGAATATTATTTTTAAAATATGGGTATGCTTAGCATGGCTGTGGTAGTTATGAACACATGAGGATCAATGCCCCTTGGAGCGCAGAGCCACCAGATTCCCGAGAACTGGACTTACAGCAGCTGTGAACCGTCCCACATGGAAACTGAACTTGGACCTCAGAGCAGTAATCACTCGTAACTGCAGGGTCAGCTCTCTACCTCTCCAGCACCAAGTCCCCCACCCCCAAGGACACCTTTGATCCCCTGGATCCAGCCACACCAGTAGCCAGGTCTATTCTCAGGGGTTCCATGGGGGTTTTGTTTTCATTTACAGCATTTGAATTAGATTTGATTTTTCTTTTTAACTTCTAATTAGCTAGAAGGCAAAGGCAGGTGAATCTCTGACATTCAAGACCAGTCTGGTTGACAAAGTGAGTTCTAGGCCAGCTAGGTAGATACAAAGATATCCTGTGTCTTAAAAGAAATAAAGAGAGAAAGAAAGAAAGAAAGAAAGAAAGAAAGAAAGAAAGAAAGAAAGAAAGAAAGAAAGAAACAAAGAAAGAAACAAAGAAAGAAACAAAGAAAGAAAGAAAGAAGGAAAGGGGCTATAGAGATGGCTCTGTGGTTAAGAGCACTGGCTGCTCTTGCAGAGGACCCGAGTTCAGTTCCCAGCACCCACATGATAGCTCACACATATCTATAACTCCTGTCCCAGGGGATCTGACACCCTTCATGCAAGTGTACATGCAGACAAAACACCAATGATCATAAAATAATAGACAAATAAATGATAACAAAAAAAATGTTACATTTACTTATCTGGTCTCCTTTCTGTTGCACACATACTCCAAACTAGCTGGCCAGCAAGCTCCCAGCCAAGTTGTTCCCAGCATCATCTTTCCATCCTCCACTGCATGTAACTTTTCACATGGGTTCCAGGAACCCAAACTCAAGATGCCGGCTTACAGGACTCTCATCCTTGCCCGCTAAACCATCCCAACAACACGCATCAAGTTGGTTTTCCTGCTATTGCCCACAGATAGCATCCTTTTCCACAAATGAAGCAATACCCTTTCAGACACTTCTTGTTTAGAAAGTTCTTTCCTTGCAGATTGGCTGCCTCTGACAGCCAATTTCTGCCCTCTGGGCCACCATCAAGTGATAAAGCCAGGAGGGCACCTCAACCAGCTTAGACAGAAGGTCAGTGAGGGCCAGGACTGCCCCAGTATCTGTGAGCAATACCTGTATCTCAGGCATTCATCCTGGCAAAAGCAGATAACGGACTGCCCTATATTACCCAGAAAGTGTCTGAGAAGGTGTCACGGGACAAAGCTCAGTCCCTTCAACCTTTCCAACTTGTACCACATGCTCTACAGAGTCACCTATTGGACAGCACTCTGGTAGATTTATGAGTCCCCTATTAACCCTTTCACCGAATTCTGGATGTCCCCAGCCAGTTTTCTTTAGCCCGAGATGGCTCACCCAGTTAAACACTTGCCTTGCAAGCCTGAGAACCTGAGGCGTCCTCAGAACTCACATAAAAGCTGGGTACAAACTGGGCAGTGGTGGCTCATGCCTTTAATCCCAGGACTTGGGAGGCAGACAGGTGGATTTCTGAGTTCGAGGCCATCCTGGTCTACAGAGTGAGTTCCAGGACAGCCAGGGCTATACAACAGAGAAACCCTGTCTCGAAAAACCAAAAAACCAAAAAACCAAAAACAACAACAACAACAAAAAGCTGGGGACAGCGGCATATGCTTGTAATACGAGAGCTGGCACCACGGGACAGGAGGAAGAGACAGTGAAACCCAGAAGTCATCAGTCAGCTAGCAAAGCTTATCCGGGGAAGCTGCAGGCCAATGAAAGGCCTTGTCTATAACAAAAATATGGAAGCCTTCCTGAAGAACAAGACCTGAGACTGTCCTGCCTTCTGCACACCTCTGTGAACATGTGTACATGGTGTGGACACACGCGTAGAACCAGGAGAGAACTTTCTCCAAAGAATTTAACAGACATACCTGGGCTACCGTCAGC